CAACCTAATACTTTTTTTTCCAGAGAGATACCTAATAAGGATCCTATCAAAATCATATCTATAGGAATGATTAATGAGATGGTTTGCACCATAGATAAGAGTGTTAAAATTTCCCAAACTAATGCCTAGTGCTGAAAAAACTCCCACTTTTGGTTGCTTACCTCATCACTTTGCTTTCATCGAAAGCGGAGTAGTGCTTTCCGTAGAAAACGCAACAGAAAGCTTGTACAATGTAGAAAAGCACTAAACAACTTAAAAAATAATAATAAATACGAGTTTATATTATACCCAAAACCTAATTTAGACCGATAATCTTACGCCTCGTTTGGTACGCGGGAATGGACAGACTTGGGAATGGAATGGAAGAAGGAATGGAATGGATTGCATGTGGGAATGGAATGGTCATTCTCATTCTCTTGTTTGGGTGCGTTCGTAGAATGAAGCTAGAATGGAAATCTCATTCCCATTCCCATGTTTGGTATCATTAGTACACAAGTGAGAATGAAATCTTATTTTCTAATAATGCCCTTACAATAACATAGATTTTTAATAAGATAAAAAATAAACACTAATGATAATAACTAAATAATTTTATATACGCATATGTTATATTAATCTTGGTATGTGTTATACTAATGCTCGTGTTATCCATCAGGTGTATATTTCGTTTATATTTTTTAAACAATACTCACTATTTCTTAGTCTTAAAAATTAAAGAAAAAAAAAGATTATCGTATCTTTCATAGGTCCAAAAAAAAAGAATGATATCCACAATCCACAGTTCTAGATATATAAATTAACTTATTTGATAAAATATCAAAATCACTCAATTCATAATAGCAAAAATCCATAAAACAATACCAACTAAAATAATAAGTTTCAAAATAGCAAAATGATATACTAGCCTAAATTGTCAATCTAAAATTGCCCACTTGCATAGCGCCTCACCCAAACATTCTTTATTATTAATATGGATATAATTAAAAAATACCTAACTAGTTTTTTATTCTCACTTGAATGGGAATGACCATTCCTTATCTTCTCACTTGGAATGCTCATTCCCACAAATAGTGGGAATGATCATTCCTAGGGAATGGTCATTCCAACATCTAAAATATAGGTGTGTTTGGTATGAGGGAATGAGAAGTGGGAATTGCATTCCATTCCTCCTCATTCCCGCGTACCAAACGAGGCGTTAAGGAAAACCCTCCGCTTCTCTCTCTCCTTTCCGCTTCCATAAATCGGGGGAAAATAATAAACCCTAACCCCAACTCCTGTTCTAGCCGCATCGTCCACTACTTCTGACCAACTACCCCGATTCCCGCTACCAAATTTGCCTCGAAATCATTCTCCAGCAAGCTTTGCCTTCACAATCACCATCAACATCACCTTCTCTTGAGCTCTTCATTGAAGCTCACCATCACCATCTCCGAACGAAGCTTCTCCACCTCATCCAGTTGAAGCCACTTTACCCAGTAGTTCTCTCATCCGACCTATCTATACATATATAAATTGAACTACTTTTTTAGTTGGCGCTTTTAGCCATTTTAGCCGCTAAAGTCCCAAAAAGTCTCAACGATACCTTACAGCTTCACTCCGCTTTCCGCAACCTTGATAATTGCAATGACCGTAAATTTCCAATACTGGTTTAAATAATTTTTTGGTATTTTAAATATTAATTTCTTTTAAAGAGTATTTATTTTCCCTGTGTTTTTCCTCTCTCACCTGTAAACCATCTGCCTCTCTCTCTCTCTCTCCAATCTCTCACCTCAAACCCCTACCCCACTCCCCTAAATCCCTCCCCAATTCCCACACTCCCTCTTCTCCGTGTTCCCCTACCTCGTGTCTCGCTCCCACATCTCTCTCTCCCCCAATTATTTCATTAGCTCTCTCTCTCTCTCTCTCTCTCTCTCTCTCGTTCTCTCTCTCAACAATCACCCTCAAACCCGCTCCAAAGCCAGCCACCGAGACCCCATCAACCGACCACCCGCGCCAACGGCACGCCCTTCGGCTCGACCTTCCCTCCTTCCCGTAACCTTCCCCCACGAGCCGACGCCAGCTCTCTCGTGTCTCCTCTTCCCTCGACCGCTGACAATGCCGCCGTCCTCCGACCGTGCAAGCCATGAGCCGCCACATTGCGCGTCGTCCCCCCCCCTCGCCGTAACTCTCTCTCCGCTTCGAAACCGCCGTCTCTAGCAACCTGAGCTCCGCCTCCCGCCGCACAGCCCCGACCCGCACCGCCGACATCCCAATCCCCTCGTCCTCCTCCCCTACTCCTGGTTCTCGTCCTCTGCTGCGGCGAAACACGCAGCGCCAACCCGCCCTCCCACTCCAGCTCAGCTCGCTGACCCTCCCCACACTTCCCCTAACTCCTCCGCTAACTCCCCACTCTGTCCCTGTTTCGGCAGGCCCGACGACCCACCCCGCTATCACGCCACCGTAGCATCCCCCTATCAATGTCGCCGCTCAACAGCCCGCAACTCGCATTCTCCGAGCTCAAGACTCCGCGCACCGTTCTGGCCGAGAAGCTCCACCCCCCACCTTCATCCTCCTCTTCCAGACCAGACACCGAGCCGCGCCCCGTCGCCAACTCCTTCAGCCCCAACCTCGTCGCCGGTAACGCTCTGCCGTAGTCGTCACCGTCGACACTCTCGTCGCCCTCCCTTCTGCTGTCCAACTCCGAACATGACGCCTCAACGTCAGATCGCACCACCCCACATCTGGCAGCGGCGAGCCGGCGCCGTACCGCCTAGTCCACATGCCCCTTGGTCTCGCTGGCAAGATCTCGTTTCTCATTGACTGGTCATTACAATTTTAGATCTGTTATGAATTATCTGCTTATATTAGACTGTGATATAATTATCTGCGAGGGTTTATTTGATGAATAATATTAAATAATAATAATAAATAATTTAAAAGAATTTATTTTGAAAAAGAAAATATTTTAGATTATTATAATGAGAAATAAACTAAAAGAATTTATTTTGCAAAAGGATTATTTTAAATAAATAAATTATTTTGAAAAAAGATTATTTTCTGAATTACGTAGTCGTTGTTCATGATTTATGAACCTTAATTTTTAATTATGTGATATGCCATGATATTATTGTACATAATCAGTTGCATTATTATTTCTTGTTGTGATTGAGGACCGTTAGTAGTTCATTACCTTAGTGTCCTTGCGTGTCATGTACAAGTTCTAGAGACATGTGTTGTGTTGACCTAGAAAAACAAAAAGAGTTGGGGTAAGAAAGTCTTGGTTCATGTGATCGGATGTGACTGTTGATGTATTTTTCAGGCTCGCACTAGTGAATTGTTTCGCACTGGGGTTGGTTTGTTAGGCCAAAGTGAAATTATTTTATCACTTTGGTCAGTGAAATTGTTTCATCACCCGAGTTTTGCTTGAGTTCGGACCAGACCGAAATCGGATTGTGTGTAGTCCTCTAGCCGCATGTTTTGCGGGATTGGATGCGCGTAGAGGATTTATGAACAGTCAGTTATCTGAGAATATGAACATTGACTCTATATAAGATATGGACCACTGATCTGTTATAGGATGACTAGTTGTATGACCTTATTACTTGGATGATTATGGAGTCTTGTGAGATGTGAACCAGTGATCTATTATAGGATGGCTAGACTCCGACTCATTGTTGAGATATTTGATAATTGAGACACATTATTGTGCGAGTACACGAGACATTCATGCTGACATTCATGCTTTAATTTCCAGTTGAATTTCTTTTCATACATAGATCGGAATTAATATTTAATTATCTACAATTGAGACATATGGTATATACATGAGGGTTTCCTTGTTTGGATTATTTCGCTTAACGTACTACGTCTCGTGTTATAGATTTTTTTAAGTATTAATTCCACCTAGTTGTATGACTTTGTTACTTGGATGATTATGGCTAGCTGTATGATCTCATTACCCGATTGATTTTGAATTCTTCTGATTATTATATTCTAGTGGTGGATTGCATTTAGATTATTTGAATTCCAGTGTCATGCTTCTTTTATTATTTCTGTTATTGCATTGGTCGTTCGACCGTTTCTATTCTTCCTTGTGGGGTCTTGTCATGTGCCATGCACGCTGACGTACTCCTTTTCTATCGGGATGTACGTCAAATTTAGAGGACAGACAGCTACAGTTCAGAGTACTACAGGAGCCAGAGGATCTTCCGCAGGAAGGCTTTGCGAACGGAACAGAAGAACAAGTCGAAGCTTAGTTATCTCTTTTAGTTAGTTGATGACCCTGGTTTACTTTTGCAGTACTTTCCATTTCCGCCGATCGATGTATTTTATATTTTTCTAACATTTCATTCAGATAGTTTTGTATAAGGGCATGTTTGGCCCAAATATTATGTCTGGATGATTATTTCAGTTGTGATATGTATCTTTTGGTTCTGAGTGTTTATTATATTCTTGCTACTGTGATCGAGAGCCCGTAACTTCGCATTATATTGCTCGACGCTTAGCGTATTAGATTGAGTAGAATGGTCAAGTACTTATTTCTCCTCGGTCTAATACGTCGCAAGCTTGTTCACGTTCCATTCCCTGGTATTTTGGAAAGCGGGGCGTGACAATAATTCCCAACCACCCATTAATAGTATAAACCAACACATTCTGTGTAGGTGTAGTAGAATTTGCACCCAGCGATACTTTGTCTTAGCTAGTTATATATTCATAGCCAAAGAAAGTACGAATATGGAAAAAATATACAGGAAAAAAGAAGACAAAAACAATCCTGCTGGTCAAGTACGGGGAACACATGATGAGGACTTCTGTGCTTGCATAGGTTTGTATATACAAACACGCATCAGATACTATTGTTCCTATAAATGCAAGATAGTTCTGTGAAATAAACCTTAATTTGAAATCTTCTAAATGCTCCCATGTCTACATGCTTTCTAAACAGCATGCAAGTATGCTAATAACAGAAGTTGATGTATTCACATATGAATTCATGGATTTCTCATCGAGAACTCAAAGAATTCCACAAGGTAAAGATAGCATCTATAGCTGTCAGCATTGTAGTTACATTACAAAACGAAGAATAGCTATAAATAAAATTTATCACAAAATAAGAAAAGACAAAGCTTGCATTAAGATTTACCTCATCTTTGAAGCACAAAGTTATGACATGCTCTACATTAAAGATCCCTCCTACTGCACCAAAACTTCGCAGTTGTGTTGAGTGTTGAGAATTATATTCTAACATGACCTTGCAGTTTGAACTTTTTCATGGCCAAAATCTGAAACTCACAATTTAATGCTTAACCAGTGAGATGAACCTCTGATGCCATCTTAATTATCCCTTTCATGGCACCAAACCTTTGGAATGCTGATGAGATTGGGGGCTATGCTCTTTAACACCCTACACATGATCAGCATGACAATGACCACTTACAATTCGGATGTTTCTAACAGATCGTCCCAAGTGGGTTATCAACAAATTTCTCAATTTGATATGCTACTATCCATAGTGGTGTTATAGCAAAAGAAATGGTTTCAGATTCCATCATTCAGTCAGGTTAAGTAACGCCTTCACCAATTTGCTAACAGAAAACTTCACTTCATCAGGTATCACCATTTGGCTTGGGACTGAATCCAAAGTATAGACAGTAATTAGTCTCATTACATCTTCTAGTATCACTTTGTTCATTGTGCCCACTTTCTTGTTCATAAATTTGCATGAGGTTCTCAGTGTGCAAGCCCGGCATACCTGAAAAAATGTTGACAGGGAGAATTTTAGTGCACCACACTTACTAGCATTCAGATGCCGATACTTCAGTTTAAATGGAAACAGTGAAACCACTTACAACTTCTTCTTGAATGTGGAAGAATGCACGCAGTCTTTTGGCTGCAAACACTGACTTTCTCTCTGTTGATGGGCAACCAAAGAGCGCAATCTTTTTTAAGTCGCTTCCAGACAACCATCTATGTTTTGAAGAATATATTAGAATAAGAGCAGCGGAATGAATATTATGCAAACTGACAACCATAAAAATTAGATAAACATAAGCAAGGACTCCCACCAAATTTATATATTTCAAAAAAAAAGGAAGAAGAAGAAGAAGAAACAAAAGAAAAGAAAGAGAGAAGGGAACACAAGAAAAACCCGTAGCACGTGATCCTCAAAACGAATTACTGTTCCACGATGAAAATGTATAGAAACAGAAGAGATGCAAGAAAACTAAATTGATCATCAGTTCATACAGCTAATGAAATCAGTACAGGTAAAATGATGAAAGTTAGAAAAATAAAACGTGTCCCTCAATGTATGGCACAACACCTAACATAGAAATCTCAATTTCATTTCGTTCACCAGAGGTGTGGGTAAATTATATGCCTATTAGATTACCCCAAACCTAGAAATCCCAAGATCCCCTAAAACTCGTTATATCTGTCTTCTAAAGAGGATGCCAATAATATTTAGTAATCTCATTATAGATGAGGTTCTCCTCCAAAAAATATCATGGAATAACAAACAGACCATGGAAAAACTTCAAAAATCCTCAGTAATAGCGAAGAAACCAAAATCCTTACTAACTAAAAATAGTTAAAGTACCTTTTTATGGTTACAGAAACCGTTGTTGCAAAATTCATACAATCACACTGCAACCTATATTGATCCCTAGGGGAAGATTACCCATTAGCATAAGCCATGAAGATTCATATCATTCGATTGAAGACTCTTATTTTTCAAATACCATTAAGATGTTGTTTCCAGTCACTAGCAGCCTCTCCCTCCTTAATCAAGCCACTCAAAAGAATACAAACCAATCATATCCATAAATAAAGACAAGCGAAAATGAACAAGGAGCCACTTCCACCAAGACTTGTCAAGAATGAACATTTGTCTAGAAGGCTTCTCCAATTCAGAAATATTATCTATTTTCTGATAGGTTCAACTTGAAGACTTATCCAAACTAAAACTTACCAAATTTCCAAAATCCCCTGCAATTTAAATCTAAGTATAAAACCTAAAGCCAGCACTCATTTAAATGATCAATTGGAAGGGCTTGAATTATCATCTATCCATCTTAAAATGAAAGGCATGAAGTTGAAACGTACTTAGCTAAGTACTACACAAAGATTGAAGCGTCATCATTCAGTACATAGATTGCACTAGATTTCAGGGTTTCCTTCAATGCCTTTTCCTTGACAAGTCACCTTACCTTACTTCAACTTTTCAATTTTTTGTTTCCCATACTTTTTAATATTACTACAATTGTAGTTTCATTCACCATAGCCAACTTTGCAAAAGAAATTTTATATACGTCATTAAGCAATTGATACCAACAGTCAACATCTATATGCCATAAAACATATAATTCAAAATCAAGACTTTCTCAAAAAAAGTACCAAAAAGGAAAGACATTTAGCCAATAGCTATCAAGTTGACATCAAGGTTTCTTAAAAGACCGAAAAAACACGAAGTACTAATCTCCTGATATAAATACACGGTTCTCATAAACAATATGTTATAACTGTTATGCCATAAAACTGACTTCTAAGAACAACCAATAGCAAAACACCAAATGTTAGACAAAAGACCGCACATGAGCCCAACGGTTGAACAACCTCGGGCAGCATGGTCGGTCATCCCTTGCCTGAGGTCTCTGTCTTCAAATCAATCATTCAAATCAATCATCAAGACATGAGCCGGTGAGCCCTGCTTCACGTGAGTTAATTAGGACTCGCTAGCTCGCATGAGGAGAAATTTGATCTTATGTCTTGCCATCATAACAAGCATATTCACGTGAAGGCATGAATGCAATCATCAAACATATTCTCTCCACGACCTGTCGTACAATCATAACAACCTCACTCAATTACAGAGGGACACATGGACAATTCAGTTACAGTGGAAGCTTCCTTACAGCTCATCTGGACAGACCAGATGACGCCACATGGACTTTCCTTTTCTCCCCGATCTACTCCTCCAAGTTAGTATAATTATAAGAAGAGGTAACCTTGGTAAGAAAACCCTAAGTCTAACTTCATACTCAATTTGATTGATTTCCACCTTTTTCTCCAAGTCACTAGCTTAAGCATCAGAGGGTTATCGGGGCAACAAGCCACTGGTGCCTTTTAACCATTTGTTAGTCGTTATAGACCACAAAACCAGCATGCACCAGCAGAGGAATCAGGGAACCCTTCAAAAACTCTAACTCTGATGAACTCTCCTAAATTGTTTTCACCAAAAACAATAGCACACAAAACACTAATAATCTGTAGAAAGTATGTTTATATTATGATGGCCATGGCCAATCAATTTGCGTTGAATATTTTTAGGAAAATGCCAACATATAGGTGTGCATGCATCATATACATTCAAGCATGCAACTCCCCCACCCCCACCAAAATAAAAAATAAAAAAAAACACCCAAAAATAAAGGAAAAGGAGAAAAAAAATCCACACCCGAATCCTTCCCTCTTCTGCCTTCGTGCTTCACATGTCATCACCGAAGACAAAAGAAACCTTGGCCATCCTTCCCACTTCATAGAATTCCATGAACATAAAGCATAATATAAATAAACTTTAAGGAACTTTTGTCCCTGTAGGACCAAAAGGTCAGCTAGGATCATGTTGTAATTTAGAAATGATCCAAACATATCAATAATTGGGAAACATGTAAAATATTTTGGTTGCTGATAAATTGGAAATATAATACTTCAATTACATGCTGTTCTGAGATAACAAGAGGAGAAGATGCAATACATTGCTTGGACAACATATACAAAAAGTAGTTGTTAAAACATTAATCAAATTAAGTAGTTTATTATTATTATTATTATTTACATTGTAGTTGGGGTAACACATAAGTCCAATTACAGTCAACCAAACAAAGCGTAGTCCATAAAACATCATGCAAATATAACTAATCAAACACATCCTAACCAAGTCATAATACCCTGTGAGGGAAACGAGATTGGAAAAACATACAGATAAATTTGGGTTCATTTAGTTCTGTATTAACTACATAGGTGGTTGAATCTAGGAATATATAGAGTTGGGTTATCTCCCTCTAACAACCAGCTTTTCAGATGTGAATTCTTGTAGGCTCCTACTGCCGATAACACGCAACAAACCAATATGATAAACATCCAAATATGTACTTATAAGTAGCCAATGCTAACACCGATAAATGCAACAAACCACTATGATTTTTTTAATTCTTCCTACATTCTTTCCGCAGACACAATATTTAATCTTTTGGGTACAAAGATGTAGTTCCTTCATTATCACGGCGTGTTTGGTTCGCTCATATACTGCAAGAAAGGCCTTTCCTCCTCTGGACACTCGTTCCACATTAGTTGAACCATTTCTAGAGCTTTCTTTGTCCCGCTTCGGTTCGCCTCCTTTCTTAGGGCTTCTAGGTGCGGAAATCCCCTCCACCTCAGCTTATCGCGTTTCTCCCATTTCCTCCCAAAATGAGAGGAAATTGGTGAAAATCACTCTTTGGACTGTAGTACTGTTAGATCTGTGATTTTGGGGGAAAAGTGGCTACGGTCCGTCACTTTCCCTCATTTTATCCTCTCTCCGTGCCTCGGTTCCTCTCTGTTGGTTGTGGGTTTATTGTGCCATTGATTTCTTGCTTGATTTGTGATTTTTTATGGGTTAATCGCACCTCGGTCCCTCAAGTTGTGATTTTCTACTGGATCTTGAAAATAGGAAGTGCCTTTCTTAGGGAATCATTGTTCTTGTTGCTTGATTTGTGCAAATTCGACAATCTAAGATATGATTTATGCTTATTTATGAATTTATTGTGCTAAATTTTAGATCTTACAATTTCCCCCATCTAAATTTAGATCTACATATATGTGAAATTATTTGTACCAATATTTGTAAATTAGAACTCATTACAAGCGAACTTTATTTGAGAAGAGTGGGTAGAATTTCATGAATATAGTTTGACAGAGTTTTAGATCTGGTAGCGAGGACTTGAATTATTGATTCCCCACCCCCCCGCCCCCCCCCCCCCAAAAAAAAAAAATCTAATCTTCTGTGTCTATGCCCATCTTCACAATAAAAAAAAGTGATATATGATTTGTGTCACAAAAGTGCCAGAAATACGAAACTTGAATTATCTTCATTTTAATCTGAAAACAAATAGTTGATTGTTCCTAATATTTCATCTATATCATTCTATCAATTAACTTGATTTATGGTTCCTATTTGGAGTGATTTTGTCGATTAACTTGATTGTCATTGAACTTATCAGCAGTAATGAGTTCATATAGTCGATTAACTCAATTAACTTGATTTATGCTTATTCCAATTCAAATGTCGAAGTTATTTTACATATTCTAGGCTCATTATTCTATTTGTGATCTTGGGAAATCATATTAATTAGCTTATGTTGGTTCTTAAAACTTGAATTCCCATATAAGTTATTTAACTTTTGTTGTTAGATAAATCATATTAATTATTTTAATTTTATGTCTATATCTCAGATGGATGATGATGGGGAATTAGTGGATGGAGAAAATAGCAAAGTAGTACATGATAATAGCAAAGCAGTACATGTGTATGTGTTAGGAGATCATTGCTTTCATTTTAACCATTGTAAATAAATTTGTAGTACATGATGCTTTGCAATACCCTTCTTACTCATATTGACCACAGTTTCATGTGACCAACTTCATGTGCATGTGTCAGAAGATCATTCTTATTACAGTATATGTTGAGCATATCCTTGTAGTAGGGACACTTCCAATACATGTTTCCATCTCTAACTTCCAAAACATTAGTTTTTAGCATTATTGATGCTACATGAATTTAATCATCCATTTTATCCCGCTCTCAATCTTCATCCGTATAGAAAATCCATTCCTCAAAAGTGGGTTGTTTAGGCTTAGTTATCCTTCCATGTCGAGGTAAAAAAAAGCAAAGTAATTTGACATTAGGAAAAAATAGCTACAAGTTTTTCATATTGGCCAATATTCTTATCTTTGATTTTGGTGCTGATGAAGATTCACTAATATCTCTACTTTTCTTATTCATCTTTTTACTGGTTAACATTTGCTATGATAACGTTGGCTTTTGGAGATGGATATGGACCGATAAATTTAGTTGGTGGTTAGATGTTGAATCTATCAGTATTTATTTTGATCATTAATTTTGATGCTGGTTTTGCTCGTGGTTTTGAATTGCTTGTGGTTTTGAGACCTAACAGGTATTGTTTCTTTTATATTTGACTCAGTTACTCAGTCTTAATTATCTACATATTTAATATTTATAGGTTTGGTATGATTTTTCACGTCATACAAGTATTCATGATTAATCAGCTTTTATTTATAGGTTTGATGTATTATTTTTGCATTTTTATATGACTTTGATATATTGCTTAGTTGCATTCTATGAGCTATCTTTTGGTAAAATTACCACCCAAATCGGTCAAATAATTATTTGTCCTTAGTGAGAGGTAATCTTACCATCGTGATCATATACATTTTTCCATACAAACTTTAAAACCAACCAAACATAAGAAAAGTTGGAAAAATCTTATCAATCAATAGTTCCCATTTGTCAATGCCAACCAAACATAAGAAAAGTGTATTAATTTGTTTCCCTTCATGTTTTATGTGTGAACCAAACACAACTAACCATTTTCATAGAAGAGTTTGTAAAACCTAAAAAAAATGGGGTTTTCTTTACACCCAATGATGTTTCCCAATAAAATGAGAAACGAACCAAACAGCCCCTTAATAAACAACTTCTTCATCTAATACTTTTAGTCGTCTATATATTCTTACCTTTTTTTATTGACAAGCTCAACTAAATTCAAACTAAAAAGAAAGGTTACCAAAATCTTACTTAGCAACTTCTTGACAATCCCTTCCAAACTTCTCAGCCGCAGTCTTCAAGAAATTCCGAAAACACAAATTTGTAGGAATCTTCTGAACATCAAATGCCTCCCAGGTCCGGCAAAGAGTCCCATTTTTCAAATATCCATCTTCCATCAATCTGCAAACAAGCATCTTCGCTTCCAGCGACAACTCCATAGGAGACTCCTCCTCTTCCCCTGCAGTTCTGTCCTTACTCTGTAATTTTCCATTTGTTGAGGAAATCTTGGGGTCTGAAAGATGGGTAGATTTTGAAGCAGGGTCCTTGATGAGTAATTTCCCATTTGTGGAGGATCTCATGGGGCTTGAAAGATGGGAAGATTTTGAAGCAGAGTCCTTGATGGGTAGTTTCCAATTTGTTGAGGATTTACCAGGGTCTGAGAGATTGGAGGGATTTGTTATGAAGAGGGAATAGAGTGAAGGTTTCTTGGTGGTTACTGGTTTTGGTTTTGTGACGACGGAAATGTTGGAGGGGGTTTTTGAAAAGAGGGAAGATAGGGCTCTGGAGTTTGAGCATAGGGGTTTGACAAAACCCATTTCGAGATTTTATTGTTCCCTTTCTTCCTCTCTGTTTTTCTGCTGAATTTTTGCTCTCGCTTGAAGAACGGAGAATTTTCAGTTTCGAAGGGGTTTTAGGGTTTATAGACCCATTCGGTTCCTGTTATTTTGACCCCATATTTTACTCATTATCAGTTCCGGATCCAAATTATAGCGGTTGCACCCAGGACCCGACCCGATAATATAATGAGCATCTTTTTTTCTTACTTGTGTGTAAAAAACAAGTTCTTCTTCCATTATTATTAGGCAAATAATATTAGCGAACAATTTTTCAAAACAGCCCCAAACAGATTTTTATTTTTCAAAATCGACCCTGCTTTTTTTTATTAACCAAAACCGATCCGTTTTTTGATTAGCAGCTTAATCACCCTCCTAAATAGTCGGGGTTGCCAACCCCGATTATTTAGGAGGGTGTTAAACCCCAATTAGAAGGCTTACACCCTGAAAATTTATGTTCTAAATAGTCGGGGTTGGCAACCCCGACTATTTAGGAAGGTGATTAGGCTGCTAATCAAAAAAACGGGTCGGTTTTGGTAAATAAAAAAAAAAGTCGATTTTGAAAAATAAAAATTTAAATGGGACTGTTTTGAAAAATTGTTCTAATATTAGCACATCAACTAGACGGTGGATAAGGATTACAACATAATATTTTCCATAATAAAACTAAATTACAAAGTGTTACACTGAGTAGTATGTCAAGGATTAGTAACTGGCATTTTCACTAACAGCGCTGCTTTTTGGCTCGCGCTTTAACGCGCGAGCCAAAAAGTGTTTTTGTTTCACTAATATATAAAGCTAAGGTAAACAGTAGAACCTCATCAGAGTATCACTTATCCTTCATTATCTTTTATTAGCACTTACCATCCCTCGAATTGTGAGAAAGGGTTTATTTGAAATTCAAAATGTCAATCGCACAATGATAAGTGATGCAAGTAGATTTACATTAACTAGGGATGGATGTATTGTTGCTCTCAAGAAATCATCAATCTATTGCTGACCTCTAATATTTCACTACCAGGGTCAGTCACTACTTGCAACCAAACGTCTGGTCCTTCCCTAAAGTTTTTAACCAAAGGTTGACACAAAATAAAATTACACAAAGTTCTATCAGATTAATTAGGTAGCTCCACATCAAAATTTACATAAATATGACAAAAGAGCCAGGTAATTAATTCCTTGAATAACTCAGTGCCTCCCTCCCTCTGCTAACAAAAGAGGGATGGGCCTAACTATATGAATTGACGAAAACAGCAAACGACTGCCATTCAGTGGATATTAACTCCCTTATATCAAAATGATATTATGGAAACTTCGTCTTTGCGAGCACATACATTTTACGCAGCTATCCAACAGCAACCATAGACATTAAGCATAGATGACGCGCAGCATACATCTATGCTTTCTTTGCTTCTAGCTAGGCTTTTGGAGATTTCTTGAATGTCCATAGATCAAAAACTTAATTTCCAGCATTAATTAGTACGTCCATTAGCAATCTTGAGATCAGAATCTTCACACAGTTCCCATGGAATTGCTTTTATGATATACACCTGGAGATAATACGAAGGGAAAATGATCAATATAGAGAACATGAATTTATTACTTGGCAATTAATCATACTTGTTTTACATACTCAGGATTAATAACAGAAACTTGGAGGATTAGTAAGAAGCATGCCGTGTATGATTTGGCGACTTTCTTGTCTCTTTCCCTATCTTGCGAGTTCCAAGTGTAATTACAATACAATTCAAAAGGTAGAAAGAGGGGGGCAAAAAACTCCTATTCTCGAGTGCTAAAATGCATCGTGGATCATTTTCTTTTGGGTTATTTTCAAAAATCCTCATGAACTTTGGGGGTGTCACACTAAAACCCCTTGAAAACTATTTTTTTCAACTAAATGTCACTTATATCTCATTCAATCACCCAAGCTAGCAGCATCTACTCTAACATGTCATGTGGTACACCAAAGTAGTAGAGAGACCACTACTAAATTACAACCATTGATTATCTAGTGGATCATAATGATTTTTCTTAAGAGTGCAGATTAGGGGTGAGTGTAATGCACTGGGTACGGTGATTGTTAGATTTAGGGGGGTTATTGGTTGGTATACTTTTGGGGTGAGTAGGATAATTTTTGGGACTTTACTTTATGGAGTTATTCATTGGGACAATGGGATGGGGATTTCACTTTAAGGTGTTATTCATTAAAACTATGAGATTGTGACAACTACCCCTACTTTTTTTAAAATTATCCCACTTCTATACAAACTTTTTGTCCCAACCTCCAAAAATTACCTTATTTTTAACTTTGGGACAATCATAAGGAAAGTGGGATAATTTTATAACACTAATTTATTAAATATCTAATTTATGTTAATTATATAATAATATATAATATATCTTAATTATATTATATTATAAAATTCTATTATAACGTAAGATAAAAAAATATTATATAATATTATCTAATATAACATTATTATATATAATTTATTATATTAATTAATAGTCTTAAATATATTGTCAATATTTTGGTAGTTATAATATTAAATAATATTCTATTTCTACAATAAAAATTATAATAAATTACTATATATTAAAGTATGATAATATATAAAATTAATAAAATATAATATATTATTTAATAATATTTTTTAGTTAATAATATTAAACATATTAATAGTATATTACGATTATTATAAATATTATATTTTAATAAGGAGCCATGTCATCAATTATTCTATTTAAATTATAGTAATTATCATAAAATAAAATAAAATATTATATTTTTAATAATAATTTAATATTTTAAAGAATATTATGTTGAATTAAACAAAATATTATAATATTTGATGAAATATTATATTATTGAAATATTATATTAAATATATTATTTGTATATTATATCAATTATTATATAATACATCATATTATTATAATATATTATATTAAATTAATTAATAACATTAAATATAGTTATAATTAATAAGTAATTATACTATAAGATATTATAGTTTAGTATACATTAAAATAATGTATTACATTATATTAACAAACCAAATAATATGCTAAACCAATTAGGTAAATTAATTTAGACTTAATTGATAGATAAATATTGTACTTTAATAAGGTGTCACATAATCAATTATTCCACATGAATTGTCAAATCAAAGCTTCAAATTGTCTCATTATCCTAAATTGTCCTACTTTACACCACTCAAAATATTCCAAAAGGATAAAAGTGTTCTATTGGAACAATTATCCCAACTTGTCCCAACCAATAACCTCTCTTAGAACGTATCTCAATCATCCACTAGATAATCAAAGGTTGAGAATAAAAGTAGTGGTCATTATAGTGGAGATGATCCAAATTCTTTTCAAATATCTTATAAGTATTTATTTTTGTCAAGGACTATTTGAAGTATAGAGGTTTTGTGTAGAAGTGCAACTCAAAAAATAAATAAGGAAAGGGAGATGCATCAGCTCTCTATTTTGGTTCTTAAGATATTTTCATGTTACTACAGCCACAGACATCAAGCAATTAACTCTATACTAGTCCAATTAAGAAAATGAGTTACTCATGTTACTGTCAGAAACTGCGTTCTTGCCAGATCCAATTAATGTTTTCCTCTTCTATTCTACTTCTTCCTCAGATTTGATAGGTCATATCTGATCACTAGTGAAAACAGAAAACAAAAACAAAATTGATACTTCCAAGCTTTGGTTCTTCATGTCTTTTTGCAATTGGTTTTGCCGTCTTCTATGAGTTTACCTCAGGGAAGGTCCTATTTGATGTAGTTTGATTGAGAGTTATCTTTTGGCGTGCATGTATGCATGCATAAAGAGGAGGATCTTGGTGTTCGAGGATTTCTATTTATGACAGGGTCTAAGCGACATTTAATAATACTAATATGTAATACGTACTTTGCATGTAATGCATATTAAATAACGATATGAGCTTAAACATTCAAAGAGCAATTTATTGAGATTTATATTAGTTTTTTGTTAGGATTTTTAGATCTCGCAAAAACCTCGAAAAGACACCAAACGCAGAAAATAAAATCACACAAGATTTAACGTGGAAAACCCTCAACAAAGAAAAACCACGGGATCAAAATCAATCCACTATCACCTCCAAATTATAATCTTTTGCAAGGACAAAGACTGTCAAACTCTCTCCCTCTCACAATACCCTTGAACCCGGTTACACCCTCTAAAACCTTGATTACAAGAATATTATCTCTCTCCTTCTCTCTATTCTAAACCCTAGAATATGAGGCATTATTTAAAGACACCTCTGACTTGCCCGCCAAGTTAATTAACTTGGCATCTACGAAAACTACTAGGATTAAGCCTAGCCTTCAAACCTGCATCCGACTTGGAGTTTGAGTTGGTACCCAACATTTTTCTCTCCAAGAATTTGCATTCTTGTATGACTAATAGATTAACATTTATTTTTTGGTAAATGGGAGGTGAACTCGGTTACAGATCTGTTCATTTCCTCTAAAGAAAACCAATATAATCTTCTTTCTCAATTATCATCTGTAAAATCTTATTGATTGCGAGGTATTCCGGTTACTATAATGGAGAGACTGATTGTAAGGACCATAAATTTTGATACTAGTTAAAATAATTTCTTTAGTATTTTAAAATATTTAATTATGATTTTTAGAAGAGTATTTGTATTTTTCTTGATTTTCTAGAATTTTTATGATTTAAAGTTCAGGTTTTATATTTATTTAAATGATTTTGATATTTATAAATTTATTTAGTGCAGTAAAAATTTATGAAATTTATCCGTTATGTTATCGATACAATTACATATTATTTTGAATAATATGTTGTATTATTATTATTATTACATATTATTTCGTATAATATGTTATATTATTAATTACGTATTATTTGTATAATTTGTTGTATTATTTCTTCTGTTACATATTATATGTCGTATTAGTATAACTGGTACGTTTTACTGTGTATATACTTATCCCATAATTATTTGGTTTTAAATGTAAGTAAATATATTTTTATTATTAATTATTCTCGTTTAATCGTACAATATGTGTATATTTCGACTATTTTGTATCAACTGTTGTATTAGCACAACAGGTACGTTTTTATTTGTAAATTATTATTCTATAATTATTTTAATTTTTAAATATCAATAGTTATTTATTTTAATTAATTTTTGTTTAAATACCTAACCATAACCCTAATATTATATATATATATATATATATATAATATATAAATAAAAAATTAATTTATTAGTATATATATATATATATTATATACCCCTCTCTCGTTTCATTTTATATAGCCCGCCACCACCCTTTCTTCCTTTCTCCTGTCTGCGGCTTCCTCCTTAGATCCTCCGACGTCGCTCTGACCGCCGCTTTCCCACTCTCGTCGACCTCCCCACTCTCCCATCTCCAAGCCACCCTAGCCACAAACGCGATAGCCCGCCTGCCACCTGCTCCTTTCGCCCACCCTGTCTGTCGCGGACCGCGAGTTCTCGCACGCAGCCCTCGCCGCCACCTCCCGCGCCGTCCTCCTCACCACAACACGCGCTCTCGTCCTTACGCCCCGCAACCTCCAGCGCCCCCAGCCGCAGCAGGCCGACCCTCCACAGCTCCAGCCCCCCCACCGCTTGCAGCAGGCCTCCTGCCGCCACTGAGCAGCCACTGTGCCCGCGCTCCGACGCCGCCCCCAGCCCCTCATTTTCACCTTGACCACGGCCAAGCTCCCCTCCTCCTCTGAGATTCCGATAGCCCATCACCCGCCCTCCTCCCGCTCTCGCCTTGCGAGCCGAAGCCCTCAGCACCACCAGCCCCTCTCCCGTCCGCTCCCCTCCACGCTCGGAGCGGGGACCCTCCACCTCTGCGAGCTCGCCGACGGCCTGCCCTAGACCCAACCAGACGACGCGCAAGCTCCCGCGCCCTCACCTCAGATTCACGTAGCCACGCCGTTGCCCCCCGTCACTGAATCAGCCCCTCGCCTAGAGCTCTTCCCGACGTCGTTGCCCCACCGGTCGGATCCGACCCGCGCCCGCCAACGTCGATTGCTTCGACGCCACCGAGGCAAGATCTCGCACTCAATTACTATCGATTTTATAATTATTATTGTTAATTATCTTGGTTAGATATATTATTTTGATTAATATCATTATTGTGGTTAATGTGAGTATTTGAATATCTGCGTGAAATGAGGATGTGTGATACTAGCTTATATCTGAAAGTTGACAAGCATGAAATGACGAGCGCATGGGTGGAAATTAGATTAATAATGTTGTTAATTGTATTTTTAAGAAATTACAGACATGAAATGACAAGTTATGTGTTAAAATTAGAATTTACGAAATATTATCAAAAAAGAAATAAATTAAAGGTAATTTATAAAATAGGGAAATGTTACTTTTCATGTAGATATATATATTACATAAATATTATTTTATAATAATTATGATGAGAAATAGTTTTAGAAATTAATTATTGGAAAGAGAATTTTTATTAATTAAGAACGTATAACCAATAGTCGTAGAGCGCGA